GAAATGGTGAATAGTTTAAGTTTAGCTTAACATAAATGCATATAAGTTGATGTGCTATTTTTTTTCTCCAAAAGATACATATTAAGCAGCCAACACTGCAAGTTATTACAAGAATCAAGTAATTTCTCCTTTTCTGTCAGACTTCACTGACCTACAATAGATGATTAAAAGGAAGGTTACGCCCTCTAGCGACACCTCATTGGACGTAACACTCTCTGACGTCACCGCGCAACGTAGTTCCGTAAAATGTGTACGGAAGTGTTACTACTAGTATGCTGCTTCTAGCCTCTGCTGTTGTTCACCGCATCTCATTTCAAACTTTTCGTTAGGATTAATGCGTTATTGTTATAAGTTTTAAAGCTGCCACCACAGACGGGGTTGACAGCATGATTCCATATTGAGTTTTCTTTGTAGAAAGCAGCAGATAAGTTGTTGACTTAACGCTTTTAAGTCGAGTCAGAGGAAGTCCAGGATGAGTTCTCAGGATGTACTGAAGAACGCGTCCACTCTTGCATCGTATAATGTGTTGTTACAGGTACAGGGGGCTCACAGTCGGGATATATCAGCCCAGTGTGTTACATTTACCGGCGACTAATATAATTTGTTCTATCTTAGGTGATGTTCCGTGTCCTCACCTTCTTCCTGAATGCATTTACCTTGCGGTTTGTGTCCAAAGAACTGATAGGTGTTGTCAACGTCAGGTAAGGATGCTGAAAGGTGCTGAGTTGTGAGAACAGGGCAACCAGCCTATATAAGAAAAATAGCACAATGCCAACACATTGCACTGCATCAGCTGCTGTAACATTGTGTGTCTGTGTCTTTATTGTGCAGGCTTACACTACTGTACTCCACATTAGTGTTTCTATCCAGAGAAGCTTTCCGGAGAGCCTGTCTAAGTGGGGTTTCTGGGAAGAACCACAGCTGGAGACAAGTTATCAACCTGCTATGGCTGACGTGAGTTGGGTTTTATGAAATGGGTAAAGTGCTTCTAAACTTGTGTATTTGGTTTAGTTCTACTGCACGATAATAAAGATGCAAAATCATTATAACGATAATACCATTTCATCTGTTATTGGGATTGTTTTATGTAAGTTAATGTCTGAAAGTAGAAACAATTATTAAGCTTTGATGCTTTCCTGCGTGTCTTGTGTTGTCTTTCTTACCTCTCAGGTTGCCTCTTGGTGCATTGTGGGCTGCCCTGCTGATCTGTGTATGGCTGTGGCTGCTGGAGGTCCCAGACCCCCAGACCATCCCTCACTACGGCCCTGCTGTGGTGCTATTTGCTCTGTCAGGAGTGCAGGAGCTCCTGGCCGAGCCCCTCTGGGTCCTGGCCCAAGCTCACATGTTTGTCCGTCTGAAAGTGGTCGCTGAGAGTTTAGCAATGATCGCTAAGTGCAGCATAACTGTGGTGATGGTGATGTTTGCCCGTGAATGGGGACTTTACATCTTCTCTGCTGCTCAAGTAAGACATTTGCTGATAATCACCCATTATTCCTGTAATAACTAACTCTGTATGCAATGATTTGAACCGTTTTTTTCTTAGTTGGTGTACACAGGATTCCTGGTGCTGTGCTACGCTGTTTACTTCATTAGTTTCTTGGGCTCTAAAGAAGCAGAGGAGAAGGGTTTTCCCCTGCACAGTGTCAAAGATCTCTTGCCCCGTAGAGCAAAAGGAGAGGTAGTACGGCAACACAATAAAGCACTATTTAATATTCATAATCTATTTTTATAAAACCAACCTGGAAGTTAAAAGTGTTACCATACAGTACTAATGCTCATCTTGTTCTCTGTTCATAGCCGTTGGTTGATTGGAGTCTGGCCCAGCTCACATGGAGCTTCTTCAAGCAGTCCTTCTTAAAGCAGATCTTGACAGAGGGAGAGCGCTACGTCATGACCTTCTTAAACGTCCTCAGCTTCGGAGACCAGGGAGTTTATGATATCGTCAACAATCTGGGCTCCATGGTGGCTCGCTTTATCTTCTTGCCAATCGAGGAAAGCTTTTATATCTTCTTTGCCAAAGTGCTGGAGCGGGGACGTGATGTCAAAAGTCAGAAACAGGTGTGATTCTTGAAAATAATCAAAAATAAGTCTTCCAAGAAATGAAGCATTGGGTTACTTAGATGTTGTGGGTTTCTTTTACAGGAAGACGTTTCGATTGCAGCAGAGGTCCTGGAGTGTCTGCTGAAACTGGTGCTGGTGGTCGGTCTGATCATCTCAGTGTTCGGCTACGCCTACTCTCACTTGGCTCTGGACCTTTATGGTGGCTCGCTGCTAAGCAGTGGGGCAGGTAACAGAGCCTCAACCAACTCGTTGTATTGGATATATGTGAGAAAATGAGCTTTGTATAGCGTTCTTAGTCACTGCTCTCTGTTTGTTTTTCTTCTTGGTTTAAGGGCCCACTTTGCTGCGATTCTACAGCGGCTATGTTCTCCTTCTCGCTGTGAATGGTGTAACGGAGTGCTTTGTATTTGCTGCCATGAGCCAACGAGAGGTTGACAAGTAAGTTATGTAGAAGTATACATTCAGTTTGATACAAACTACCTACATGGCCATCCGTGGTATAGCTCGCGGTTACATTAAATAATGTCCCAACCTTACAGCCAAGCCCCTAAGATCAGCTGATCAAAACCTTTTAGCTGTTTCTTGACCACAATTAAAACCAAGGGTGATTGTAGGTTATCAGCCTTCTGCTTTTTAACAGCCTTCCCCTCAAGGTTAGCTTACCATTTCCAAATATAGTATATTTGTTTTAGTAATGTTATTTAAAATATTTAGATGCACAGCTTTTCGTGATATTTTGCACGTTTATCTGTTTTATCTGCCTGGATCAGTGTTTCTCAAACTTTTTCATACCAAGGACCACTTAAACAATAAAAAAACACTCGCGGACCCCTTAACTCCACAAATATCCAAAATCACATCGTTTTTCTAGAACAGATTACAAATCGCCTGAAAATTGTACAAACATGTGGCAACATGTGTGATGAAGGGGTTGCGCTGGGCTACATCATGCAATCAAAAGAAACTTAAGCTCGCTCCATTGCGGAGATATTCCCGCGAGAGTGCGGAAGACTTAAATGTATTTATTTATTTAAAATGTGAAATTTTACCAATATACTCACGGACCACTAGGGGTCGCTCACGGACCACCAGTGTTCCGCAGCCTAGAGGATATCACCTCCTATATTTGCATGTTATTTGTTTATATTAACTTATGTATTTATTTGATGTGCACCTACCTCCCTCTTTTATGTTTGGCTTTTGCTTGATGTGTTCAAATGTTCCTACATTCTGAATGTCATACAGGGGGATTACATAGGTTTCAGTATTTCTAAATGTTCATGCTTTTATTCATATAACCTGTAAGTTAAATCCCTATTTGTGTTTTGTCCTCAGGTATAACTTGGTGATGCTGGCTCTCTCCCTGTCTTTCCTGTTCCTGTCCTACATGCTGACATGGTGGGCTGGCAGTGTGGGCTTCATACTAGCAAACTGCCTTAACATGGGCCTCCGCATCTTGCACAGTGTTTTTTACATTCACCGCTACTTCCTGTCCAGTCAGTGGAAACCTCTGCAGGGCCTGCTGCCCTCCCCGCTCCTCCTGCTGGCTTTGGCTGTCAGTGCCGTTGTCACAGCGCTGTCTGAGGTACGAGAGAGTCGTGTGACAAGTTTTATCTCTTAATATCAACCAATGCATTTCAGTTTTATGTATTCTATATAATCACTCTTAGGGATGGGACGATACATGACTTTTGGGGAATTCGCAATAAAGTTGTGTAGCTGGCTTTTAGCAAAGCGAAAAGTAAAGCCTGGTTTCCAAAAAAAAACTTCCTCCCAAAAAGTTTCTTTAAAAAGTATTTATACTCTATTTATACCATGGGATTGTTTTTCACTAAAAAGCATATTCACCAAAAATGTGTGTCCTATCTGTGAGGCAATACAATTATTGTTTTCTAACAGAAATCTTTGTTCAAATGATTCCAGTAAGTTATTGGGTCATTATTAAAGATGTAGGCATATTTTGGATAATATGTTGAATTTGAACTATTTTGGGCAGGATAATCGTGACATGAGATGTTAGTGTTGTTTATGCCTAATGTGTATTGAAGCCTGTGCAAATCACAGCCCTAACTTGTGCTTCTTTACTCTCTGGCTGCAGGGCGTGTTCTGCTGTGACAGCGGCTGGTTGCTAAGGCTCGTCCATATCAGTGTTGGAGCAGCGTGTCTACTCGGTGTGTTAGTGGCTGTTCTTCTCACAGAGACTCGGCTAATTCAGTTCATAAGGACTCAGCTCTTGCCCAAATACCGAAAGAAACACACTTAAAATGAAATGGAAATTGGTGGACTGAACTGGAAGAAGGCTTCTAACAAGAGCTGCTGATTGAGTTACTGACTGCGTGAAAGCATCAAGGGAACAACTTTTTTAGTGTGTGTGTGTGTGTGTGTGTGTGTGTGTGTGTGTGTGTGTGTGTGTGTGTGTGTG